AAAAAAAAAAAAAAAAATCATGTATTTCAATAAATGCTTATAATCCAAATTTTCCTATAACAAATATTTTGCATGGAATATACTGTATCTCTGTATGCAAAATGTACCATTTAATTACATATAGAGTTATCTTAGGAGTTAAGGCATGAAAACTCACTGGACTCCATTCATCCCTGATATAAGCTACATGGAAGCTAATGAAGTGATAAGGGGGAGTATGGTCTACTCTGAAAGTAAGAAGTTTCTGAGCACCAAGACCAACATTGTCCATGTCATCATATAAGTTCCAAGGAACCTCCCCGCTCTCCAGCTCATGGAGTTATGAAAAGCAAATGTGGGGAGACAGGGAAGAGTAGCTCCCCTGTCCATAACCCTAGCACTGCTGGGAAGATTGTGTTTCAGAGAGACTCACTTTCTGATGGTTGAGATCAGAATGGAAGCTCCAATCTTTAACGCAAGCTCCAGCTGTCCTTTCCTCCTCTCTGTGGTAGCGAAGATAATTGAAAGGGAGGTGACACTAGACTGTATTTAGCAAGCAGGCATCACACCCATGACGGCATTCCATTAGGGCTATTTGAAGATTTTAAAACAGAGCTCTAACAAAGAGAAAATAATGCAGCTTTATGCCTGTCAGAGAAGTCAAGTATCTAGACAGGACCATGCAACTGAAAAAGTAAGTTTCACTGCAGAGCAGAGATTACCAGCTCACAGCTCATTTTCCTCCACGCATCTCCATTAAGTTCTTTTTGTTACTGCTATTTGTTCAAGATTCCTGATCTGAAAACATTTTCTACATAAAAGCTATGAGCAATTTCCAATACTTTGATTACTCTTTATATTTTGAGAACACAGGATAATTTCAGTGACTGCCTAAGCAGTCAGTCTATGCTTCAGCAACATTTAACCTCTTCTAACTGAAGATGTCCCAAGTGTTCATTAATGAACTCAGTGTTTTGCAATAAGTAGTCAGTCTTGCACAAAACTTACAGACTGCTACTCTTTCAAATCAGAGGCATCCTTCCTAGTTTCAAAGAATTTTCCCTCACCCAAAAATTCATTTTAGAGAGGAGTAACTTTTACCACAAGCCATATGAATTTGTATTCTACAGAACTATTAGCAGATTAGACAATATACACTGTTAATTTGGTCCTAGTTTTGGTAGGAGAAAGACAGTACATTAATTAGTGTTGAAGTGTGTTATTTCTAAAAGCGTCTTTGAAATAAGTGCTCAGAACCAGTGTTTTTTCTCAAAGTTCAGGTTCCCTTTCCAGCCTATCTGTGCTCAAACCACAGGAACAGTATTAGTCTCTTCAGACACATATTTCAAAATCTCAAATGTTTCCATCAGCAGTTAGGGCTTTAAAAAAATGTAATTATACACAATTAATTTTTTTGCACCAGAGTTGTTACTTCTTAGGAATGTGAATGTTGGACTTTGGCAGTGGACTTTATAATAGTTTATATTTGCACACAAATTGTGCAACATTATCCAGCACTACTAGTGTATAACTTTTACACTTTTCTCTTAGGAGTGAAGCTCCATCTGTCATTTGTTCCCAGTAAAAGACTGCATGGTCTGCTATATCCACAGTATCTGCCAAATAGGATGAGCCAATTGTAAAGAGTCGAGTCTTCCAGCACTGGATGTTGTCAACAACAGACTCCAAAAAGGGCATTCTGATGACTGCTATGATAAGCAAGAAAATCAGGAAAGATACTATAAGTTTACGTGAAAACACAGAATGAATCTTGAAATTAAGCATGCTGTTTTCCTGAGGCAAAGAAAGTTTGTCCACATCTTCTAGTTTCACACCATTCCACTGGCTGGTATCAAAGGCCTTCATGGTATGGCTGATGTGTACATTAGAACAAGGCAGAGGGGTTTCTTTAATCATTTTAATTTTCTCCCTAAACTCCTGCATCTGCTGCAAAAATATAATAGGTTCAGATACATCCTTAAAGGCCTCTGCAATGTTAAAAACCATTCGTTGTTCTTGCAGAATGGTGTTCAGTTTATTGATTTCTGGGTCGTAGGCCTGCATCACAGCAAGCTTCATGGTCTCAAAATCAGACAGAATCTCATTTCTTTTCTGCTCCAGCGTGTGCTGCAGCTTCTCAAAAAACTCTTTCACTCTGTCCGAATCCCTTGTCAGCATTTGCAGAGCTTTCCTCTTGCTTGTTTCTAAAGTGTCCAGCCGGGAAAGTGCATCTCCACAACGCCATGTTTCAAAGCCCTGAAACAGGGTTTCAAATGCACGCTTCTCCTGAGAATAGGCTTCTTCAATAGAGCAAAACACATGCTTTATGTGATCACCTCGAGTAGCACAGACCCCACAAATCAGCTGCATGTCTGTCCGGCAAAAAATGTTGAGGGGTTGCCCACTGTGCACCTTGCATACAGGCATTTTAGGAGTTACCTTGATTTTGTTATACTTCTCCACAATGCCTTTTAGGGAATAGTTGACTTGCAAACTGTTGACTCCTGTGACAGATGTCTCCTTCCGACAGGTAGGGCACTTGAAAGGGGATGGTCTCCAAAGCACATTCCGGACGTTCCCCTCCAATATCCCTTCCAAACACTTCTTGCAGAAGTTGTGTGAACAGGGCAGAACCCGAGGATCATCAAACAAGCTACAGCAAATGGGACAGGTCAGATCTTCCTCTAGGAGCTCCATCACATCCTATGAAGAGAAAAACAGGTATTAAAAGCACTTTTCCAAATACATTCCCATCTCCCCTCTCAATAAAAAAAACCTCAAATGTGAAAGAGATTTCAGCAACCTAGACAAGAGCTATTTCCACTCCAGACAAGCAATGGGCTTATCTACGTTACAGGGTCCCTGCAGCTATTAGTTTTGTTGGCAGAGCCCCCTAGTGGAGATATGTTGCATGTCAAAAGGGTTTTTATTAACAGCTTACTTATAATGCCCTCCTAAATGATACAAGCTAAACAGCAAAGTTCTTTTCTGCCAGCGTTGATGCATTTCACATAAGAGATTCACCCAGCAGAGCTAACAGTTATTTTCAGCCAATACAGTTTTCTTGGGGCAGGGGGAAGAGAGTGAGTAGTGATATAGACCAGAGGGTCTCAATTTTTTTCTTATTGCATACCCCCTTCCAAATTTACCAGCTGCCTCTGTACCCCTATCAGCACACATTTTATATTTTAACCCCTTAAATGCCAATTATTGAAAACTGAAATCACCACTGATTATTGAAAATGAAAATTAAGTCACCATTACACAATTTCTCCAACATACCCTGCAGAGGTGTCTTGCATACCCTCAGGGGTACAGGTACCACAGTTTGGGAACCCCTTGTAAAGACCAATCGTCAATGCAACTCCCCTGGTTTCATGAGAAAGAAGGCTCTTTTTTAAAGTCCCTTTACAGTGGCATCTCAGCTAGGTGTGTATACACAACCAGTCTAGCCATGAAGTGGCTGTGTGTGTTCTGGTACCAAACCACCAGATGGCAAACATAAAAAACTAGCCTAGTGTTAAGACAAAACCACTTTCACAGTCTTACAATAACAATTCATTATTTATGCCAAGGAATGTTAGACAAATCCAGCAATGATCTTTGCTATCAGCTGAAAATTATTAGAGTACTAATATTTCAAGACTTAAGCTTCATCACTGCACTGATGCACCATCCATAGGTTGGAATTTCACAAAATACATCAGATTAACATGGGAAAGACCAGACACTAAGATTCAGACAGAAGCTATCATATTTTGCTTCCCCAGATCCAACACAATTTCCATTCAAAATGTAACACTACTTGGTAAAGAGGTAGGAAAGCAATGAAGGTGACTAGAAAAAGTGAAGCGTCAGCATTTCCTCCCCACACACAAAAACAAAGGCCATTCAGTATTTGTTTCACCTTATTCTCTTCCACGCCTTCACATAGTGTTCAGTAACCGAGTGAATGCCCTTCACCTTCCTGTTGAGATATTCAGTGCACAGCTGAAATATTTCAAAGAACAATTTACAGATGATCCCTGAAAAATCACAGCAATTTAAAAAAAAAAAAAGCTACTGTGCCCTGCTCATACAGACAAGGTATGTACACACAAATACATGTCCTGTATTTTCAGATCCAGTCTCTCAACATTCAACTTAATTACTGTATTTTTTTAGTGGAACCTGAGGAATCATCAGAATTTATCATGCTGTTCTTGGGATAACTTATTTGTATTGTATTAGCGCACAGAGACCTCAGTGAGAAATCCAGCTCACTGGGCCAGGTGCTAGACATATGTAACAAACAGGTTTTTTAATACAGGCTTCTTACAATCATGCAAGAAGCAAGGACATTTTTTGGTGACATCCTTTATTGGATCAACTGTATAGTCAGAAGAATGTTAAATAGGCTTTCAGGCAAAATGCCCCTCTTCACTTTAGGTCAGGATCATGGATAAGAAAATGACTAGGTTTCTACTCAGGCAGAGAACTAAACCTTTTGAGCGAAGGCAGGATAGTAAAGTCTGGGGCAAAACCCCAGGAAGAAGTCTATTCTCAGTTACTTAAATCCTCAGAATGTTGTCCCTGGATCCCACACAGGGACTCCATTTTCTGTGAGTCTTCTGCTAGTAAGTTAATTTGAAACATCACTCACTTCTCCTTCCAGGAGCCAGAGGAGAGCACTGCTTCTCTTTCATCCCCTTTTCTGACAACTTCTGATGCCAAAGCAGCAGAATGAGACACAGAGTATTTTGACTACCCTTCCCTAACCTCCATAATTTACTGAGCATGGAGCCCCGCTCCCCACCTGCTCCGTTTTTCTGCATTTTAGCATCTAGAAATCCACAACCTCTCCACAACCTTTTTGAATTTGGCAGCACCACTGGTTGAGAACCAATGCTACACTGCCTCCACTTCGCTCAGTGGTTCTTAACTAGGGAGCTGCTAGACAATCCTGCCTACATTAGAGTTTTCTGATCAACCTAAAGCAGGCCAGCCTGACTGTTTGTAGCACCCACATTGTGGCACCTTTGGAAGGGGCTGATGCTCTACAAAATGCCACAACACTCCAGCGGAGAACCACTGGTCTAATTCCACACTGCACGTTCTAGCTCGGGGTGGGTAAAATGCAGGCTGGATGCGGCCTGCCGGGTCATTCTATCTGGCCCATGGGGTCCCTAAAAAAGCTAGAAAATTAATATTTATCTGCCCCTGGCTGCTTGTCACGCGGCCCTCAATAGCCTGCCAAAACTCAGTAAGCAACCCTCCACCTGAAATAATTGCGCGCCCCCCCCCCCCCT